AAACCTTTCTATGATATTAGACCATTTTTATTTTAAAATTAATTCAAGAATATTTACATCTTGTTCTGTGGGTTTCTAACCTATTTATTATTCAATAATATGTTTAACAAGTATCAAAATTGAGTTTAATGTATTCTACAACTTGAAATTGTGAATGTAAGAATGCAGTAAACATAGCGTAGAACTTTTACTTACTGGGTACAATGTTGCATATAAGGCAATAATACTGCGTGTTGTCATATTTACAGTATAATTATACCTGGTGGGAAGTAAACCTGAAACACTTCCAGACCCTAAAGCATTAATTTCTAGTAGTTAGTGTAATACAATTTTGTATTTTATGCTTAATTTTTGCTTTGTTAAAAGGGTGGAAACTCTGTTATACAACAACAGTACATCAAAAATTTGTAATATTCAACGTCTATACAGCTGTGCACATATCAAGCCATGACAATTTTCAGAATATATAAGCTGTTAAAAATTTTATAAATACAATAATAATGGAAATAAGATCACAGAACAACTGAAGTCAATGTCATTGCATAAATCATAAGGTTAAAGAACCCTCATAAATTTAAAATAAATAAAACCACTAAAGATATAGCGCAATGATTAGAACTTAGTTTCTTACTTATTAGCACAATGATTACAAAAACACTGCTTGCATTTTTCTGATTCTTTTAAGATTCTTCTCACATGCATATTAACAGAGGTGCAAAAAATTCTTTGAGCCTAATATGTACCCCAAACATAATGTTTTCAGTTTAAAATTTCCCCCACAGTTTTATTTAAAATAATGTTTTACAAAACATTTCCTATTTACTCTGATAACTATCGTTTAATGGGCTGTCTGATTTTGGAGAATTTGTTTTTCAGCCAAAATTGTGTTTTAATTTGGTAGAATAAAATTCTCTCAAATACAAACTTTGCCTCATGTCTGTTGTAAAATATTCAAATTTTAAAAATTTTTTCTTTACTCGGGATAATTATTCCATGCCCCCCGGTGCGAACTTTGAAAAACTCTGGTTTAAATGATTTATTATAAATACCTTTTACTAAAATAATTCAAATAAAATATCTTTTATGTATATTTTCTTATATTTTAGAATTCGGGAAGCACAAATTTCTTCTAATTATCATGGAAAAAAAATAGTTATAGAGCTTCAAGTAATTGATAGAAATTTTGTGTTAAAACTGAAATTTTCTCTGCAGTGACTAAAATACTTCTAAATACTAGTTTATTTAAATGACTAAGTTACGAAAATACTAATTTATCAAAACTTCAAGTTACAGCCTTTCGAATAATTAAAGTTTCACTGTATATATATATAAGTTGTGGGTAGTTTTAAATTCATTGTTTGGGATTTTTAAAAATGAAAGTATTTTTTTCCATAAAGGCAAATCATGATGATGCGTAGCGTTTTTAAAAAGTACTTAAAGGTGCTTATTTTGTTTTTTTTTAAACCAAGGTGCTTTTTTCATTGGTTGTTTTCAAAAAGTGCTTAATTTTCCCTTTTCGAAAATGAGATTTTTTTCATTCTCATGTCAATTTTCGCCACGTATTATGCTGTGGCGTAATTTTCTCTGGAGTGACTAAAATACTTCTATATACTAATTTATCGAAACTTCAAGTTACAACCTTTCGAATAATTAAAGTTTCACTGTATATATATAAATTTTTAAAAATGAAAGTATTTTTTTCCATAAAGGCAAATCATCATGGTGCGTAGCGTTTTTAAAAAGTACTTAAAGGTGCTTTTTTCATTGGTTGTTTTCAAAAAGTGCTTAAAATGAGATTATCGAAAATGAGATTTTTTTCATTCTCATGTCGATTTTCGCCACGTATTATGCTGTGGCGTAACTACCACTCTAAACATTGAATACCAATTCACTAGTATATAATACACTTGATTCTATCTTGAGGTACCTTTTGATAGATGAAGATTGATGTAGTCGATAATCAAATCCCCTCAATGCGTGCATTGTTCTATTCAACGTTTTCGCAATCTTGGCCGATTGGTTATGTATCTACCACGAACAATTCACTCATGCCTTGGCAGCCCCAGATTTCACTCTAAGTAATTTTTTCCTGTGAGGGTTAGTAAAGAATCTCCAAGTAATAAAATCATAATTGATTTTTAAGCCAGTATCAGCGGCAATTTCCAGCATCGATACAGACATGGTACCTAAAGTTCGGTAAGGAGGATATTTCAGCCTTGATTTATATTGTATAACAAAATTTTTGCACATTGAACATTTATGAGGAATAAATTCATAACTTGATTATACTTTTGAAATAAATAAATTTTTTTTGTACACTTTGTATTGTTTTCCTATGAAATAGTTTATTTTTTTATTTGATCTACATTTTATGGAAATATTATTCTTTTGTGTATTATAAATTGTTTTTAAATTCTTTTTTTATTAGTTCAATGTACTTGCTCTTAAAAATAAGGACCATTTGTATGTGTACAAAATATGTTGTTTCTTACAATGTTTGTAATTGTTTTATTTTATAGATTGAGAAAAATGAATCTGCTNTTCATTATCTGAACAAAATTCCATGTTCAAAGCTAGGTCTGCCAAATTCATAACTTTAGGAAATACTAAGCAAATCAAAATAAAAGCCTGATTTCAATGTTATTGATTAAACAACTAAATCCTAATTTTATTGAGGCTCACCTAGAATTGTCAATGTTTCTCAATCCAATTTTCCAATGTTGCTTAGTAGGTTTACTATGCAACATGAAATAAATGTTTTCATTAACAATTTACATACATGGCGAAGTATTATAAGTAATTTTGAATGGTGGTCAATAAATGGCACTAAAGAGTCCAATCATCTTTAACAATTATGTGACAACAAAAGGGGCTGAAAAACAACTATTTATAACATGTTAATACAGGGGTCGATTGGTTATGTATCTACCACGAACGATTCACTCATGCCTTGGCAGCCCCAGATTTCACTTTAAGTAATTTTTTCCTGTGAGGGTTAGTAAAGAATCTCCAAGTAATAAAATCATAATTGATTTTTAAGCCAGTATCAGCTGCAATTTCCAGCATCGATACAGACATGGTACCTAAAGTTCGGTAAGGAGGTCATTTCAGCCTTGATTTATATTGTATAACAAAATTATTGCACATTGAACATTTATGAGGAATAAATTCATATCTTGATTATAATTTTGAAATAAATTCATTTTTTTTGTACACTTTGTACTGTTTTCCTGTGAAATAGTTTTTTTTTTATTTGATCTACATTTTATGGAAATATTATTCTTTTGTGTATTATAAATTGTTTTTAAATTCTTTTTTTATTAGTTCAATGTACTTGCTCTTAAAAATAAGGACCATTTGTATGTGTACAAAATATGTTGTTTCTTACAATGTTTGTAATTGTTTTATTTTATAGATTGAGAAAAATGAATCTGCTGAACACATGTTTAGAGTAATTAGAATAATGGAATCAGGTGAAGAAATTGCTGATGAANCTTGTGACAACAAAAGGGGCTGAAAAACAACTATTTATAACATGTTAATACAGGGGTCGATTGGTTATGTATCTACCACAAACAATTCACTCATGCATAAGCAGCTATGCTCTCCAGATTTCACTCTATGTAATTTTTTCCTGTGAGGGTTAGTAAAGAATCTCCAAGTAGTTAAATCATAATTGATTTGTAAGCCCGTATCAGCTGCAATTTCCAGCATCGATACAGACGTGGTGCCTAAAGTTTGGTAAGAAGGTCATTTCAGCCTTGATGTATAGTGCATAACAAAATTATTGCGTATTGAACATTTATGAGGAATGAATTCATAACTTGATTATACTTTTGAAATAAATAAATATTTTTTGTACACTTTGTATTGTTTTCCTATGAAATAGTTTTTTTTAATTTACTCTACATTATATGGAAATATATTGTTATTCTTATGTTATGTTAAAATATATTGTTATGTATTATAAATTGTTTTTAAATTCTTTTTTTATTAGTTCAATGTACTTGCTCTTAAAATTAAGGACCATTTGTATGTGTACAAAATATGTTGTTTCTTACAATGTTTGTAATTGTTTTATTTTATAGATTGAGAAAAATGAATCTGCTGAACACATGTTTAGAGTAATTGGAATAATGGAATCAGGTGAAGAAATTGCTGATGAATATGATATAGTAAGTAATCGTGTTTGATGTCTTGATACAATTATGCTTTACTTTGTTATGCTATTTTGTAAATTTTTTACCAACAAATTTTTCAGGTATTATTTGCTATTGGTGGTGATTCCTGTACTACTGGCATTGGATTAGAAACTGTTGGTGTAAAAGTTAATCCCAAGTATGTAATTTTTATTTATTTATTTTCCTTTTCAAGACTGCATTTTTTTTTAAGTCATAACATTTTTTTTAAAGTTCTTACATCATATAAAATAATGCTGTTTATTGAAGACTATACTATTTTCGCAATTGTTTTGCAATCTGAAAAATTTGTAAGCATTATAAAATTTGTAGAATTTAAACTCAAAATTTATGGAGTTCATTAGACTGCCAAATATTNAGACATGGTACCTAAAGTTCGGTAAGGAGGTCATTTCAGTCTTGATTTATATTGTATAACAAAATTATTGCACATTGAACATTTATGAGGAATAAATTCATAACTTGATTATACTTTTGAAATAAATACATTTTTTTGTACACTTTGTACTGTTTTCCTGTGAAATAGTTTTTTTTTTATTTGATCTACATTTTATGGAAAGATTATTCTTTTGTGTATTATAAATTGTTTTTAAATTTTTTTTTTATTAGTTCAATGTACTTGCTCTTAAAAATAAGGACCATTTGTATGTGTACAAAATATGTTGTTTCTTACAATGTTTGTAATTGTTTTATTTTATAGATTGAGAAAAATGAATCTACTGAGCACATGTTAAGAGTAATTAGAATAATGGNTAAATATGATTGATTTTTATGTAATATTGGAATACATTTTAGGTCAGAAAACAGCGGCAGGAGAAGGAGATGGCTGAGAAAAGACGGAGGACAACGGTGGAATTCGCCAAAGAGGAACGTCGGCGAGCCCATGAGTTCCGAAAACAGAAAGAGGAACAGGACAGGCGAAGGAGGAACGAACAACGAAACCAAATGATAGACCACGCCAGCTTAATTGCGACATCCCTGGCCAATGAAACCATGGTGATGCTCGCTTCTAGATTCATCGACAGGGTGTCGCAAGGTCTATCATTTGAAGAGGCCCGGAGCAGATTAGATGCAGATATAGAAGAGAGCAGCTCCGGCCTCAGAAGATCCATCCAGGACAGCTTAAATAACAGCTTTCCCATTGAAGCTGAAGAAGTCATACCACCTACTTCTCCAACGATGGATCTGTCGTCTGTCCAGAAGCCTTCACCACCGCTTGCCCTCCAGCCGTCACCAACTCTACCATCACCTGTTGTACCAACAATTAGTCCAGCACCAATTTCTCCTCCGTTGGCATCTGCAAGTTCTCCACCACCATCTTCCCCACCTGCATCACCCCTACCTGCATCACCCCTACCTGCATCACCTTCACTAGCATCACCTCAACCTGCATCACCTCCACTTGCATCACCTCCACTTGCATCACCTCAACCTGCATCACCTCAACCTGCATCACCTCAACCTGCATCACCACCTGCATCACCTCCAGTGCAAGTTCCTCCAGTGCAAGCCCCCCCAGTACCACCACCTGTTCCTCAGCAGCCTCAGGCTCGGAGGCGAAGAGGAAACCCTGGGAGGCGAAGCACGAGGCTTGCACTTTTAATTGAATCCAGCAAGAACTTCTTAAAGACCGACCCTCCATTCAGCCTTCCAAAAAGAACGAGGTACTCCAAAAAGTACCCAGCTTAAATATTTTAAAAGATCCTTCCGTCTTCAACAACCCTAAGAGACATAAGTAAGTTATTATTTTGGAATCTAGAACATTATTCATCCTTAAGTGTCAGCGTTCAATTATTTGCCGTTAAAACTTATTATACTTTCCCTTTAACTGGAAATCCAACGAAGTATAGTTAAGTAGACTTAAATATTTGAAAAGAACTGAATAAAATATTATGATAATAATATTTATTTTTCTGAATTCTGTGAAACTTATTCGTTTATAGTTTTTGTTTTTTAACATATTAGAATACTTGCATCTATCTATAGGTATTTGTTTTCTATTAAATTTATGTGATTAAGATTGATTTATAAAATAAAATTTATTTATGCAAAAGCATTGTTTTTGTTTACTATAATTCTCTTGGATATGGTGGGTAAATGAATTTGGATTTTACTTTTCATTTGCTATAGTTTATTTTTATGATCTATCTTTTGATTTGTTTTTAAAACATCTTTCATTTTAATAAAACCTTATTTTTTTACTTTTTTCTAAGAAGTAAATTAAAAAAAAATAAATTGTGTTTTCAACTGTTTATTAAACTGAAAGTATAGTAAATAATTTAAATAATGGTTTAGGATAAACATTTCTCTAAATCCTAACCTTTGATACAGTGGCTAGAAGAATTCTCATTTTAATTTTCACTTAATATTAATTTCTTTTTATGATTCATTATTTAGTTTACTTTAATGGTTTTCAAACATTTTCATTCTTTTTAATTATTGTTATTACCCCTTATCTAATTTAGGATAAAAGTTTTTAGTTTTAGAAAAAATGTACTTAAAAGTAACACATCACCGTTTTAGTTTTCAACCTTTAAATAAAATAAAGATAAAGTAATTAATTCTAATTAAATTAATTTAAGGAGAGGTCCAAGTTAAATAAAATTATAATATCTTTTATTAAATATATTCATTGCTGCATTTTAGTTTTCTACCTCATATGAAATGAAAAATTCCATGTTTAGTTCGCATTGAAAAGTGGTTCAAAATAAATAAAAATTATTTTTCTTCATCAATTTTGTTATAATATTAAGTCATAACTAGGGAGTTGAGCTCCCTGTTCGCTGCCGCTCTGCAACTCCGATGATTGCTTTGTAATAATTGTTTCTATGCAGAATTTTTTTTTCTACTAAAGTTAAAATTATTCACTTAACATCTTTGTACTAAGGTAAAGATTTGCCTCTACCCGCCCTATTAAAGGGAGGAGTAATATCAACCTACAAAAGGTTATTCGTAGATTATTTTTTTCATTTTTGTTATTTTTTTCTTTGTTAGTGATGATCTCTTCTGTTTGGAGAAAAGTCCTGGAAAAAACGTTAGTTATTGGATCTTCATATGTTGCTCTGGAATGTGCTGAATTTATAGCAAGAATTGGGTTGGATGTCACGGTTCGTTCTATCTTGCTTCGAGGTTTCGATCAAGACATGGCTGAAAGAATTGGTAACTACATGCAGGAAGAAGGCATAAAATTTCTCAGACCTTGTGTTTTGGCATCTATAAGTTCTCCACCACCATCATCTCTGCCACCACCCCCACCGTCAACATTGCCGCCACCCCCACTAGCATCACCCCCACTAGCATCACCTCCATTAGCATCACCTCCATTAGTATCACCTCCACAAGCATCACCTCCACAAGCATCACCTCCACAAGCATCACCTCCACAAGCATCATCTCCACAAGCAGCACCTCCACAAGCAGCACCTCCACAAGCATCACCTCCATCAGCATCACCTCCATCAGCATCACCTCCATCAGCATCGCCAACAGTGCAAGTACCTCCAGTGCAAGCCCCCCAAGTGCCAACACCACCACCTGTTCCTCAGCAGCCTCAGGCTCGGAGGCGAAGAGGAAACCCTGGGAGGCGAAGCACGAGGCTTGCACTTTTAATTGAATCCAGCAAACAGTTCTTAAAGACCGATCCTCCATTTAGCCTCCCCAAAAGACCGAGGTACTCCAAAAAGTACCCGGCTTAAATTTTTATCCTTCCGGCTTAGATCCTTCCTTCTGCAACAACCCTAAGAGACATAAGTAAGTTATTATTTTGGAATCTAGAACATTATTCATCCTTAAGTGTCAGCGTTCCATTATTTGCCGTTAAAACTTATTATACTTTCCCTTTAACTGGAAATCCAACGAAGTATAGTTACGTAGACTTAAATATTTGAAAAGAACTAAATAAAATATTATGATAATTATATTTATTTTTCTGAATTCTGTAAACCTTATTCGTTCATAGTTTTTTTTTTAACAGATTAGAGTGCTTGCATCTATAGGTACATGTTTTCTATTAAATTTAAGTGATTGAGATTGATTTATAAAATAAAATTTATTTAGCACATTACTTAAAATTGCGAAGCGTAAAAGGTTATTTCTACTTGGAAGGGAAAACAAAATATATATACAAAGGTATATATACATTTAGATTTTAAAATGGTTTTTAAGCTTCAACCTGCCCTATTAAAGGCAGGAGTAATATCAACCTACAAAAGGTTATTCGTAGAATTTTTTTTATTTTTGTTAACTATTATAACAATTCGTAGATTATTTTTTAATTTTTGTTATCTACTAGGGATGAAAATTATGATCTCAACATACTTTATATGAAATGTTAATTGCTATTATTTTTTTCTCTGTTAGTGATGCTCTCTTCTATTTGGAGAAAAGTCCTGGAAAAACTTTAATTATTGGTTCCTCATATGTTGCTTTGGAATGAGCTGAATTTATAGCTGGAATTGGGTTGGATGTCACGATTCATTCTATCTTGCTTCGAGGTTTAGATCAAGACATGGCTGAAAGAATTGGCAACTNTGGCTGCAGAAAAAAAAAATGTTCCATTTTATTTTGAAACCCAAGCTTAAGAACCAAAAGAAGAATTAGGTACTTTCTTTTCCTTTCTTATTTAAACACTAAGCATAACTATTACAGGACATATTAGTCCCAGACTTTGGGTTCGTAGTGTAACTTTTTAGACGATTCAAAACTCTAAACTGAACATATTTTGTTTTAAAACTCAAAATTCAAATGACGTAAATTTGCAACCACTATTATAAATGTATATCATCTATGCCAACCTTGTATAAACAACTATTGATTTTCAGTCTTTTCTTTTTCTTAGAAAAGAAAAAACTCTAATTTAATACAACATACTAAGTAATTTATGCTAATGAACGATATCATAAAAATCTTTGTCTTTAATTCTTAGAAAAGACAATATTTATGAAAGAAGTTGAAAATACAGAATAAAATGCTTGTAGTTTGAAATGCGCGTCCAACTGTGTTCATTAACATGCTTTTTGAGTTTAATAAGTGTTTCACGATATCTTAGCAGCATTATTTGTGAACATCTAAATATGGTATATTGCTTGATTTAAATATGTATAATTGAATATGAATAGCTAAATTATTAGCTGAATTCTGGGAATTATTTATTTTGAATTCTACAACCAAATGTTTTGTAATTGACTTTAAATCAAAGAAATACATATAGGCTTGATTAAATTTTGTTATAATGATCGAAATATTACTGAAGTGCCAAATATGGTAATTAGTCCTCACTAATTTACAAAATCAAACAGACGTAATTAGTCCTCACTAATTTACAAAATCAAACAGACGTTCTCTAAATACCGTTTTTCTCATTGATTTTGAACATAAAAATAAGAGCGCTATCTGAAAAATAGGGTACAAATGATTTAATCAGAAGAGCTGTCAAAAATTTGGGTCCCACTTTTTAAAACATAATTTTAATAATTTAAGCAAACCAAAGAATTTTTTCAAAATTATAAAACTTTTTTCCTAAATATAATAAGTACTATGCCAAAATTCATTTTAATAACCATTTTTAATTTAAAAAAGGTTGAAAAAATATAGAATTGTAAGGTCTGCAAATTTCTACGTTATTTGTATCTAGGAAAATTTATATAAGAAAATACAGCGTTGGAATCAATTCATAGTTTTTGATTGATGCAATTTTAAAGTAATGTTATTAAATTTTAGTTTTTCAAGAGCTATGGGACCCATTTCAGGCAAATTTTGTATTGTGTCATTCGAAATTGCACCCTCCTTTAAAATGAAGTCAAAATTTGCATATCTCACATTAAATATAATTCTTATTAAATATGTACGAGTGTATATGACGAGTGTATGCAGGCCAACGTTGTGTGTGATCGAGACTGAGCAGCAACAGCGCGAGGAGGTGGATAATGGCACGGTCACAAATAGCAAGTCAACAGTTCAATGTGCATCATCCATCGAAGTAGGCCTGTTTTAATCGTAGTGGGCGTTTCCGCCGAGGTAGGTGTGTCCATATTACGTCCGGGTCACCAATGTGGTAGGGTAACTATCGACAATGTCAACATTTATCTATGAAAAGGTGCTCCAACATAGAATCTAGTTAATCTGCCTAATATACTAGTGATTTGGAATTGTATTTTTGTAGTGATAGACACAGAGATGCCAACTGCTCCGGACACGCCAAAATAATTAAATAAACGGTAAATAACTACAAAGTAAATTTTGCAAATATTTGACTATTTTTGCTTGCTTTTTAAAAGCATGACATAAATCAAATAAGTGGTGAATTATATAAGCCTACAAATTATTTAGAAATAGTGGTGGATCTACTAAATTGAATTTATTAAATCAAGAGTCACAATTGATAAACTACCACTTAAAAATATATATTTGCTGTCAAGTTGGCATCCCTGTAGACACACTGAAATAAAGTTACACAAAATCCTTGTTATTAAATATTATAATTGTTTGACTCTAAGAATTCTCTTCTAGGCGGACACAAGGGGTGGAGACACCAGAAGATGTGAGTATATAATTTTCAGTACTTTTAAATAGTTAAATGAATATCCAGAAATTAATTAAGATGTAAGAAAATTTCCGTTTTCAAAAGCGCTATATGTTGAGGCACCTCATGTGACATTTGCCATGTGACATTTTTAGCAGCAATCATTGGTCCATTTTCTAACGTTGCCATTCGGGGAGTTGTAATGAGGCTTTTTTTTGGTGCCGTGTAAGAGAAATATATATATATAGACATTAGCATAAATTAATTTATTTCAGTTAATTTAATTAGGTACTTTTTTTTTTTTACGAAACTAGCAATTTTTACGGTATAAAATATATTTTTGTATGGACTTCCTATCATTATTAATAGTTAAGAATATTTAAGTTCAACTTTTCAAATAATTTTGATTGGCACCTAGTACATGAAATCCGATTATTAGATCAAAAGTTAATTAGTGTTTTGCGTAACCACACCGATGATTTCACTTTTTGCATATTCGACATATATCCGCCTATTTGCCAATTTTTATGTAAAAACTATGTATAAACTTCGTAACTTTCATGTAAGTTTTTATATGAGTACATTATATAACAACTTATATGTAAGAACCATATATAACCATGAAGAACCATGTAAATGTATCCTTATATGTTTAAAAGCTATTACAATATTTTTGAATTGTATGCATTTCTTGAATTTTGAATGCATTTCTTCGATGAAATTTTTTTTTTAGCAAAATTCCTTTAAGTGGGCAAATTCCAAACTTATTGAAGTGCAGAATTCAGGATTTCACACACAATCATAAAACTTTGTTTTCAAAGTATAATTCCATATAAATTAATTTCTACAGTTTTTATCATTTAATTTATTAATGATTAAAAAATTGAAAAGTCAGATATACAAATCATTACACCAATTTAATTCTCTTAAATTCTAAAGTTTAAGTAGAATCAGTCGGTAGAATTTTTTGCGATACGCAAATAAAGAAATTAAAATTTAAGGGACTTAGCGTTTTTATCGAGAGGGTCTTTAATCAAAATTTGTCGAGTGTTTATTCGCGATCGCAACACTCGAATACGCCATCTGGGGAGAGACCGGTTTCATGCCTTTAGCCCTTCTCCCTTCCCTCTCCTCCTCTTTTCAGTTATATAGGAATGTACTACGATATTTTCCCTTTTCTTAATATTTTTCCTTTTTACTTAATAAAAATATTTTTTAAAATTTCCGTGATACTTTTCTTTAGAACTATGTTTAATGTAGTTTTCAGTTCCATGTAGTTTTTCAAGTTAAAAGATTTTAATCTATATGAAAATCAAGAGAGAAACTAACGTACTTCCTTCCTCTATGACTTTCCACACGCTAATGGGGAAAGCATGTAAAGTGTTGCCATAGGAAAAGAGTTCTGCTCTACGCCACCTGCAGCCCATTTCGATCGCCAATTCAAACATTTCTGATTTCGTAAAATAAAATATAAAAGTTTAAGCTTTCGAACATTTAAGAACGAGATCGTTAAGATCATTATATAGAGCATTGGTGTTCCCCCCCCCCTCCCCGCAATGTCCACATATGCTAGATTTCTATTAAAAATTTCTCTTAATTTATATGCCATACACGTATCACATGAACTAGTTACGAATCCATTGACTTAAATATTTTGAAATATCTTAAATGCTAAAACTAATTATCTAAATAATAAGTGTGGGGAGGGTAGCTATCGACAATGTCAACATTCATCTATGAAAAGGTGCCCCAACATAGAATCCTGTTAGCGTGTCTTATATACTAGTGAATTGGAATTGTATTTTTGTAGTGGTAGACACACTACAGTACTCCCCACTATAATTATATCTGTGGTAGAATTCGATGGACGGAAACCACTAGGTGATTCTTTGCTGCTTTGTGAGAAACCGGGAGAACTGTATTAAGATCACCGTACTTCTTGCTGATCATAAGAATTGTATTAAGTTCTTGGTCGTGGTTGCTCCTGTGTTGCCATTAGCAGACGAGTGTATGCAGGCCAACGTTGTGTGTGATCGAGACTGAGCAGCAACAGCGCGAGGAGGTGGGTAATGTCACGGTCACAAGTAGCAAGTCAACAGTTCAATCTGGATCATCCATCGAAGTAGGCGTGTTTTAATCGTAGTGGGCGTTTCCGCCAAGGTAGGTGTGTCCATATTGCGTCCGGGTCACCAATGTGGGAGGGTAACTATCGACAATGTCAACATTGATCTATGAAAAAGTGCTCCAACATAGAATCTAGTTAATCTGCTTTATATACTAGTGATTTGGGATTGTATTTTTGTAGTGATAGACACACTGCACTAAAGTTATACAAAATCCTTGTTATTAAATGTAATATGATAGAAATTATAATGTGCATTGTTTGAATCTAAGAATTTTCTTCTAGGAAGACGGCTCACGGAGTTAAGACACCGGAGGATGTGAGTATATCATTTTCATTAGCAGTACTTTTAAATAGGTGCACGTTAAATTAAATAAGTAAAAATGAATTTCCAGAAGTTAATTAAGATGTAAGAAAACTTTTTAAAACTAAACAAATAGTTTTTTTTTTTAATTGTTCTATTAAACCTAGGATTTTGTTTAAACAGGGATCGCAATAACAAAGTATGTACAACCAATCCAAAAGTAAAATTTATCAAAATATTATGAACATGCAAGTTAAATAAAATAAATAATAATAAAAAATAATGAATTGAAAACAAAAATTAAAAGAATCTTATTAAAATTGTATTGCTAAAATAGATTCAGATTGTAATAAAATAAGAGCTCCGTAAATAGTATCCTGTGAATGAGCTTATATATTGCTCTTTTTTTAAATAGTGCATTCGACCTATGTGTGTAATCATAATATTGGAATATATTTTAGGTCAGAAAAGAAAGGGAGGAAAATGAGAGGGCTGAGAGAAGGCGGCGGACCATGGTGGAATATGCCAAGGAAGAAATGCGCCGGGCTCACGAATTTAGAAGGCAGAAGGAACAAGAAGACCGGCGAAAAAGGAACGAAGATAGAAGCCGGATTATAGACCAGGCCAGCTGCCTTGCGACAGCCCTAGCAAATGAACAGATGGTCTTGCTGGCAACAAGATTCATTGATAGGGTGTCGCAGGGCATTTCGTTCCAAGAAGCCAGGAGCAGGCTCGAGGATGACATCGAGGAGAGCAGCTCAAGGCTTAGAACATCCATCCGAGAGTCTTTGAACAGCAGCTTCCCTGCCGAAGAAGTCCCTCCAGTGAGACCCTCCACTTCTGCGGCCTCAGATCCATCTCCCGTCCGCCAGGCATCACCACCGCCACCCCCATCATCACCTGTTGTACCTCAAAGCCAAAGTATTAGTCCAACGCCTGCTTCACCTCCGGTGTCGGTGGTAAGTCCACCACCACCACTACCATCCTCACCCGTGCAAGTACAACCGGCTCAAGTCCAACAACCGGCTCAAGTCCAACAACCGGTGCAAGCGCCTCCACCGGTTCCTCAGCGGCGAAAAAGAGGAAACCCTGGTAAACGCAGTACAAGATTGGAAATTTTATTAGAAGCAAGCAAAGGATTTTTAAAAATGGACCCGCCTTTCACTCTAGCCAAAAGACAGCGATTTTCGCAAAAATATCCTGTTTAAATTTGACTTAGTCCACCACCATCTGCCAGATATATTGATATTAAATTTAGAAAAAACATTTTCTTTCAATGTTTAAAAATCTGTGTCATTGGTAAATGATTGGGACTATTGTTTCAAGGTACTAAAAATGACTTGTTTATAATGTATAGATTAAATCTTTAAAAACAAATATGGATTATTTTGAGAGGAAAACGTCATGTTCTGCATAGTTCTAAGAATTCTGCACTGATGATTCAAGGGGATTACTATCTAGTATCAACAATTGATTTCACTGCTCAAAGGCTGGGAGAGACCACCATCCCTTCAGTGAATAATTCAGAATGATAATAAATAGTTAAGTGGTAAGTAAATATATTTGTATTCTCTATAATAATCTGCAATAAAAATGTAAAATTTACGAATTAATAATTGCTCTTGAAAAATGTTTATCTCCATGTTTGTCAAAATGGGTTTGATAAAATATGGTTTCATTCAATTCGAACGACCCCTTATTAATAAAAATACCTCGTTAAACTGTTCTACCGTTAAAGTGCTAGACTTCGCGTGCAGGTCGTGGGGCTACAAAAGCAGGGGTGCCATCCCCTCTGTAGAGGATCAAAATTGCGTTGGCACGTCTTCGGATCATCCTCCAGGGATGTTTCCCAGATCGTCGCCAATAGCCCATTGTGCAGCTCTAGTGCGACGTAAATGGACAACAAATATAAGCATTTTTTTTATATTTCAAGAAAAAAATATTTTTTTGTAAGTTTTATTTATATTACGGGCCTGTGTTCCTTTCAGTCTCTTAATATTTTGCAATCGAATATTGCCTCTGGGATCCTCTGTAAGTAAAAGGGGGGAGATATGATTTGCGCACTGATTTTGGCCAATTACCTTCGCACGTTGAAATTTTCTGCTACAAGCGCTCTTTCGTGATTGGCCAGAGGTCTTCTTTCTCTAGTTTCGAATATAGTTTTCATTCTTTTCACTGTCACTGTGGTAAAAGCATTGTTTTTGTTAACTATATATGCCCTTGGATACGGTGGCTAAATGAATTTGGATTTCACTTTTCATTTGCTATAGTTTCTTTTTATGATCTATCTTGTCATTTGTTTTTAAAACATTTTTCATTTTAATAAAACCTTATTTTTTTACTTTTTTCTAAGAAGCGAAATTAAAAAAAATAATTTTTTATTGTGTTTTCAACTGTTCATTAAACTAAAAGTATAGTAAATAATTTAAATAATGGTTTAGGATAAATATTTCTCTAAATCCTAACCTTTGATACAGTGGCTAGAAGAATTCTCATTTTAATTTTCACTTAATATTAATTTCTTTTTATGATTCATTATTTAGTTAACTTTAATGGTTCTCAAACATTTTTCATTCTTTTTAATAATTGTTATTACCCCTTATCTAATTTATGATAAAAGTTTTTAGTTTTAGAAAAAATGTACTTAAAAGTAGCACATCACTGTTTTAGTTTAAAACCTTTAATTAAACTAAAGATAAAGTAATTAATTCTAATTAAATTAATTTAAGGAGAGGTCCAAGTTAAATAAAATTATAATATCTTTTATTAAATATATTCATTGCTGCATTTTAGTTTTCTACCTCATATGAAATGAAAAATGCCATGTTTAGTTCGCATTGAAAAGTGTTTCAAAATAAATATAAATAATTTTTCTTCATCAATTTTGTTATAATATTAAGTCATAACTAGGGGGCTTAGCTCCCTGTTCGCTGCCGCTCTGCAACTCCGATGATTGCTTTGTAATAATTGTTCCTTTGCAGAAATTTTTTTTCTACTAAAGTTAAAATTATTCACTTAACATCTTTGTACTAAGGTAAAGATTTGCCTCGACTCGCCCTATTAAAGGGAGGAGTAATATCAACCTACAAAAGGTTATTTTTAGATTATTTTTTTCATTTTTGTTAACTATTATGATTTCAACATACTTTATATGAAATGTTAGTTGCTATTATTTTTTTCTTTGTTAGGGATGTTCTCTTCTCTTTGGAGATAAGTCCTGGAAAAGAGTCATCTCAAAGAATTACTGAGAAGTGCTGTCACCAATTATTCATCAAATTTTAAAGAATTATCAACAGAAGTAAACTAAACGTGTTTAATTTTTAGTATTAAAATTCAATACACATATTTTGTACTTATATGTTCCCAATAAATATAATTAATGTTAAAAAATTTTAATACCTTTTTTGCATACCTTTTAAATACGTATTTAATTGCGGCTCTCGAAAAATTTCATTTGAAAAATGGCTCGACTATGAAGGAGCTTGGCCAACCCTGGTATAAACTATTTCATTGTCTTAAAAGTGTTTCGAAGTGAGACACAAGAGTATGTGACTACAAAACACAATTTTCTTGCTAATAAACACGAGGCAAAGAATAATTTTTTAACTTAGAAAGTAATAACCGCTGCAATTAAATTTTGATATAGGTATGTTCTCCAAACTGTAAAAACTTGCAAAATTTCATATTGTTTGTTAAATAGTGATGACAATCAAAAGCCAGGTCGGTTATATTTTCTGAAACAGCAATGACGGCGGTAGCAAATTTTTTTTTTTTTTGTTATGAAAAAGTGCAATACAAAACAATTTTTCTGTGCCAATTATTTTGATAGTAGAAATGTATTAAGTTACTTTCCCGAATAGTTTCTGGCAAAAGGAAATTTTGTTCAAGAATTTGTTTGTACTGCTGAGAATGTTATTATGTATTAAATGTACAAGTTTCAATAATTTGTTTTAATTATTCTGTTGTAATTTAGACATTAAAATAAAAAAAAGTAAAGCATATTATAACTTAACCTTTTCATGAAACTTAAACTTGATCCTTCAGCAATTTTATAATAAAGGAAATTTTGCAGGAAAATTAAAGGACTTAGAGCATTCATACTTTTTTTAGCAGCGGTATTTTTACAACCTTAAACTGTTACTGAGTATTGTTTCCAGACAGATATTTAAAAACACTAATAGCCCGTTGGCCGAAGTCTCAAAAGTAGTTTTAAACTAATTTTCATTCTTACATTTGAGAGGCAATTTTGGCTTAACTTAATTTTATTATAAGTACTTTCAAGTTTTTATACTATTATATTTATTTAGAGATCTTAAAATCTCTTTTTTTCCTCCTTAATCATGATGACCATATCAGATGATATTTTAATTCAATATGAGAAGGTGAAAGGCCCCTTCAGCAATCTCAGACTATGACAACTATAGTTTTATGATGAGGGGACATGATACTTCACTCTTAATAATTTTCGAATTTTTAAAATAATTTTTGTAAAAATATTTCAAATTTGAATTCAATAAAAAATTTAAATCTTTCCTCCTCTCTGTAAAAAATTGAGCTTTCATAAACCTTTTAAGAATTGCTTGCTACCCTACATAAAATAATCTGATTTTCTTTAAAAATATAGAGATTTACCCCTTATTTATTAAAATGATATTTGTTTTCTTTTTATTTCAGATATCACTTTAATTTTTTTTATAGAGAAAAATAACTATTTCATACACATGAATATTTGAAATTTCGTTTGACATAAAAAAATATATATATAAAAAAAATCCATTTGTATAAGATTGAAATGAATTTTAACTAATCTTTTTATTTTTTTTTTTTTTTTTTTTTTTTTTTTTTTTTTGGTGGTACACTTTGTCTTAAATCCTTTTTTGCTAAAGATTTAAAACTTTCTTTGTGTAAGAACAGTGTATTTTACACACTCTGAACATGCTATATTGTTACATGATTTATTTTAAAAAATTCAACGAAATTTTGGTATTCATTATTTAAAATTGTAATATCTTGGGACAACATTAATTTTAAAAAAATGATAGATTTTGAAAAAATATATTTAGCGTGTAGAATTTATTGTTTTGATTAAATAATAAAAGTCTCTCTTATGTTACTTCAAGTAGTTATAGCATCAAGTGTAGCAAAAGCAGGGATGAGATTCTCCCGCGGATTCGCGGATTTCCGCTTTTTTTCAGATTTTTCCATTTTTCCGCTAATTTCCGCTGAAATTTATTTTTTGCACAAGTTAAAATGTTTTATGAGGAATTTAATTTTCCGCGGAGGGAAATTGTTGAAGTCCCTTTTCCTCCATCTGAAGTTACTCTAAAAATAATTTCTTTGGGATAAAACTGGTTGACCTTTATACAGGGATGAGATTTTTTTTGTCTCTCGAATTTCAGCCTTTTTATCAAAAACTCCGATTCTCTAAAAGTTTCGTTTTTTTAAATAAATGTCCCGTTTTTTTTTTTAAATTCAGTCATTGAAGTAAAGTAATTATGTTTATTTACGATTTTCAAAGATAAACAGAAAATTCAATCTACGCCCTAGCTGCTAACCCTTCCGCATTTTTAATTATTTTAGCTATTTTCTCCGATTTCACGCACAGAAAATAAAATTTTCCGTATTTTTTATCCGTCCGCTGGATAGCTCGTATTTTCGTAATTCAGATCTCGATTTTTATTCACGCGATTTTAATATCAATCATCGATTTTCGTATTTACCTGATTTAAAAGTTGCACAGGGGGGGAGTTGACTGAAAGAAGNGATTTTCCAGTCCTTATTGTATGTCTGCTCTCAGCCACCAGAAGTTGTTACATGTCTGGAATATGTATACTTTCGTTCAGGTTTATGCATCTCTGTCGTATGTCAGCTTTCAGCCACTAATGGTTTCAACGTTCCTGTGATATGTTTTCTCTCAGCCACTGCAGCAAGGAATAATACTGATTTTTTAGTAGTCAAAACTACTATAAGACGACTTTCGCTTAAGTCGATGACCATTGGAGATATATGAAATTCAAAATAATATTTCACAACTCGCATTTTGGCTCAATAGCATTTTCTAATTAAACTAGTATTTATTTTTTCCTTATCCTGCATTATATGCTCGTCCAACAAAAATTAATTTCATTTGGAATGTATATTATACGAAAACCTTGGGAAAATTTTATATTTTAAATTGCCTATATATTATATTATATATATAGTATATATATATAATATTTTTTTTTCTTTCTTTTTTGTTTTTTTGGATTTCCTCTTTTTTACTTTCTGACTTTTTTACTTTTTTACTCTCATCCCTGCAAAAGGCAAGTACAGAGAGACCTTAAAAGTCTTAACAAGTAGAACATATATTTTTTTATTAAGCTAGAGGAAATAATTCTAGACGATTAAACATCAATATATTTTAAAACTTGAAACTATGAAATATAATAATTTATTTACATTTAAGTACAGGGAAATTACTCAGCTATTTGTCCAAATAGTGCCCATTATAAAAATTCTCGAAATATTTTGACCTATATCTGAAGTTAAATGTTTAAATCGGGTTTTAAATTTGCACTAAAATTTACAAAGATGTTCAATCCTTTAATACAAAATTGTCGAAATTCTTGTCGCAGACTTTACGGAGCAAAACTACACAAATTCCTTTAAATTTTATGATTTAGTCTAGTCAAATGTTTTTTTATAGCTTAAAATACTATGTGCATCTACAGTCAAAAACAGAATAAAAGCAAAAAAAGGTTTTTTCTTTCTTCCTAATAAGCATATATTAATAAAAATATTTTTTTTCTATATTTATGCACAATGTGTAAAAAAAGGTAATAATTTTGTAAAATTGAAATGCCAGAAATATAAAATGCCAGCATTACAAATGTGTGTAACAATATTCTGGAGGAAAAAACTTATGTTGATTCGCAGTAAGTATTTTTGTTTTAGAATAATGACTATTAGCACTTGCTTTTTCTGTTTGTCTAGAAGAAGTTAAGAACGTTGAAACATTTTTGAATCTTTAAGTTTAAGACCTTTTTAAATAATTTTACAACAAAGTGCTTTGAATACTTTTATTTTAACTTCTGTTCATCTAATAGCATAGATTTTAGATAAATGAGCCATTAATAACAGCTAACTTTTGAAACAATACTTATCATTGCGCTTTTGTTAGTGAAAAAGATTTTTTTTTTCTAGTACCAATGGCAAAGCAAAAAGTGCAAATTTCTAAAAATATAAAAATACAAAAGTATAAATATTTACATGCGAGGACAAAACATTGCCCAAGTCATTGCCCTAAAAGTTCTCTAGCTTCCCAATACTTTGAGAACTCTTGAGTGTCCTTTCTGGACTCCCAAATCGGAGCAAGTTGTCCATTTCTTCTTCTGTATCACAAAGTGAACAAAAAGGCGTTGCTGAAAAGCTGTACAATGCAGCTAAGCAGAAAAACAAAACTTAATTTTAATAATTAATAGTTAATTTTTTTAATCTTCTTGTGACTAAAATTTTACCTACTTCATTAAAAAAAAAAGAAAATTGTTAAAAAAAATATATTGTTAATATTTTATTAAGATAACAATACTCTTATTTCATTTTTGGTGTGATTTATAGAGAAATATTCTCTTTAAATATTATCAGTTAATATTATAAAAATTTAAATAGAGAAAGCAATTCACCCTTTTTTTGAAGCAAAGTCTATATTTTGTATTTTATAATCGGGGACGAATTCTTAAGTACGTCGATGACAGGGCTAAAAAAAGAATAAGGGCTGGTTGAGGAAACTCTCGCCGCGCCTAACTTCCGATATTCGCCTGTGACGTCACGGAGGCACAAAGATTGAACTTTTAGTTCAAGATCGCAGCTTTCGGTCTAACTAACTCTTAACTAAAATTGGAGCATTCCTTTTTGTGACATATTCCAAGAAATTCTTGGTTTTCTATTATAATTTTCCTCGGGTTTTTTTTTTTAATGAATTAAAAACATTTAGAATTATTAACGAAATGCCAGTTTGTGTGATTGCAACTTGCAAAAATTCTGATAGAAACACAAAAGGAAAAATTACAATTTTCCACGTGCTCCCTAAAATAAATGAATATCTATATAAAAAACGTTGCAAACGAAATGACCCAGTTAATATAAAATATGTACGAATATGCAGTAAGCATTTCTTGAAAGAAGATGATATGAGAAATCGTTTGATTGGATTGCCAATTAGAATGATTTAAAAATCTACTGCAATACCGAGAGTAAATTTGCCATTTTCTTTGCAAGCAATTTTTTCCCGACAAGAAAGATTGAATAAACGCAAAGTGTTGGTTCGCGCATTTGACAAATTAAAAACTCTAAGCTCAAAGGAAGGCAATTTGAATA